CTGTGATGGACCAAGTTTTAAAAGTACTTCTTCAGACAAAAATAGCCCTCAAATTCTGTTGTTTTCAGGGGGTTTTCAGAGATTTTTTTTTGGATGAATTTAGTGCTGCTTCACAAAACTCAGCTTACTGCACCAAGAAATGATGGCATTTGTTTTCCAAAGGCAAAAACAATCCTTGGACTGAAGTAGCTAGAAAAGATGTGCCAGTTTGTTTTTTTTTAAAAAAAGCCTCCCCAGCAACAGCGGGTTTTGCCCATCTTCCTTCAAATATTTTTTTGTCCTAAAGCGGGTGCTGTGTGGATGCACAAATGGCATTCATGGTGGGATGGAGTACTTATAGCAGATGGAATGCTTGACTCCTTTTTGTGTTGGATGCTTATAAAGCAGGTTCCCCTCTATCTCTGCCTGTCAGCATGTGCACACAGGTGAAGGGAGTCCTTGGCAGGATGAGAGAAGGTGCCGGACAGAATTGTTATCTTTTAGAAGGACCCTCAAGTTACAAATGTGGGGGCAGGTTTGGCTCTCTCTGCAGTCCCTAAGGTCCTGCAAGTGATTTCAGTGGGGACACACAACTGAATATCTGCTGTCAGAAAGTCTGATGCTTAAAAGAAGGAAATAATGGAATGATCTTGCATTTTATGTGGTTTGGTTTTGTGGGGTGTTTTTCTCTTTTCTGTGTTTTTTTTTTTTTTCTTTAGAGAAGTGGCATTGTTTTGCTCTTGTTTATTTTTATTGAAAAAAAAGGTGTGGGGGAAAACTCAGCCCCAGCATTTGGACTGTTATCTAGTGCATTTAACACTTGGTTGGAAAGAGTTAGAAAAATGAGGGACTCTATGTCACTTGAAAAAAAAACACCAAAAAGACTCAGCAAAAGAATTCACAGACCACTGACTGAGGTAGAGACTCCAAGGAAGGTTTGGAATGTAGATGTTGAGAAAAATCTCATTTTCTAAATTCACTCCTAGAAACATCAGCAAGTCACAGCCACCAAAAAGTAGGGGACACCAAATGTCTCGAAAACACAGCAAAATCTTCATCCCTTTTGCCTCACTCCAAAAAGTCTTGGGAATGGGGCAGGGTATAATACATTATCCTTTTAAGCCTTCATTTCACTGCACTCTCAAATACACCAGTGTCATGGAAAAGAAAATCAAGTGAATAAATGTTGCAATTTATATATATTTGAATAGATAACAAGAACAATTTTACTGTTTGCCATAAATTAAAACCCCACCAAATCATTCCTCTAATTGAGGTTCTGAAGCTCTGTTTATGGCTGCAAAGTGATTTGATAAAAAAAATTACACATTTTGAGTTATTATATCACCCAGAAATTTGATGCCACTTAACTATGTAATTTTCAGAAATGATATAAAACCACTGCAGAAAAATATTCGGGGAAGCCCAAAAGACCTCTTTTTATCTGTTTTTATGAGTCTAAAATGAGAACTCGCAGAGATCCTTGCTCTGTATGTGAAGGCTGAACTGCCACCTCGGGAGCTTTATTAATATGTATGTAAATATGATCTGGTTAGATCCTGTGTTTCTGTGCCGTTTCACAAGGTGGAGCGGCTAACTAAGCCGAACAGATCAACGCCCTCTGTTTATTCCCTCCCAAGCAGCAACATTTAAAGATTCAAAGAGAATGAGGACAGCAGCCTCATTTATGCAAGATTGTCTCAAACTTCCTTCCTTCCTTCCTTCCTTCCTTCCTTCCTTCCTTCCTTCCTTCCTTCCTTCCTTCCTTCCTTCCTTCCTTCCTTCCTTCCCTCTCTTCTCTCCTCCCACCCTGCCCCAACTTCCACACCTGTATCACAACCAATTTACCTCTGACTTAGCATAAGATTTTACATTAAAGACTGAGCAGAAACCAAAATGACATCGCACAGAATCTGCAGCTACAATTTTTCTTCCACTGAAAACTTGCTTGACCAAATGGAGAGAAAGTGGAAATGCATTAGAAATATGTCCAAGTGGCACATCAAGATTGTCCTCCATGAGGATATTGGGACTTCCTCTTTACACTGACGCTGATGTTATTTATGCATCTATATCCGTGCCAAATTTTAGCTAAAGACATTGCATGATTAAAAAAAAGAAAGAAAAGAAAAAAGAAAAGAAAAAAGAAAGAGAAACCTAGAAGATAAGCTTCTGTGTTGAGAGTTCTCGACTCAGCATGCCTTGCTGTATACAGGCTAAAATGGAATATTTGTCATCAGATGAGCTTGTTTTTCCCTGTAAGGATGGTGTTTCTTTATGAGAACTCATATCCCTTACACATTATGAAAACAGAAAATATTATTATCTTAATACAAGATATTTAGTGCAAGAGAGTGCTTTCTCTCCCCTAATTTAAAACAAGGGACCATAGTACTTTCAAAGCCAGCAAAAATCTTGTTTTCTTGTTGCAGATTATGCTCCCATTTTGCTCGGCCTTTTTCCTTTCTTTTAGGCATATTTTTGTGGGGGGGTTTGTGTGTTTTGCTGCTGTCGTGGGGAGCTGCTGTCCCAGGTTTGCAGGCGGTGGCGGGGCCGGAGCTCGGCCCCATCCCCGGGACAGCGCAGGGGCAGCCGGGGGGCTCAGCCCCGGTGCCGGCAGCACGGCCGCGCTCTCGGGACAAAGCGGGGCCGCACCGGGGCCGCCGCCGCCCGGGCAGCCCCCGGGGACCCCCGACCCTCTCAAGGGGCGGCTGCGGCGGCTGGGGAAGAGACAGAAGCGCGGGGCCAGCTGCAGATGGAGGCAGGTCGAGGGATAGGTCAAGGTTAGAAAGAGCCTGCTATTGATCTGGCTTTGAACGCGAGACAGGGAGAGCAGAGAGACTAAAGGGGGAGCTGTGAGACAAGACATTAACAGCTTTCAGTGCTAATGATCACAAGTGCCAGACAGGGGAGGAAAGAGAAGACTGAGAAATCACTTTGGAATTTTTTTTTCCCCTCTATTGGGATGTATTTTCGGAGGAGGAGGAGGAGGAGGAGGCAGGCTGGGGGTCAGCCCCCGAAGCCTTGCCCGCAGCAGGAGAGGCGAGACGGGACTTGCGGCGTCCCCGCTGCCCTGGGCAGCCGGGGAGTCCGCCGGTCAATCATTGCCGGCCCTTATCTCCTGCTCTCGGTGCCCACTGGAAGACACTGGTTAATCAACAGATGATGCCCAGTAACTTCCCGATAAGCCGCGCTCCCGAGGGGTGCAGCTCCCTGCAGCTCGCCCGAGAACGGCGGCGCCCGGACTTTGCACCCCGCAAGGGCCCCGCGGCGTGGCCTGGGGCCGGGCCGCGCCGAGAGCAGCAGCACAGCCACACAAAAGCCTCCGGGCCCCGCCGGCCCGAGCAGAGCGGCATCAAAGCGGGGAGAGCCGTGAGGGCAGCTCCATCCCCGCCGATCGGCCCGGGCCCCTTCCCGCGGGGGCGGAGGGCAGCGAGGGGAGCCGCTTCTCCCCTCCGGCTCCCCCGCGATGGGGCCGCATCCTTCACCCCGACTCGGACACGGCTGCCCCGCAGGGCAGGAGTGGGGGCTCCCCTCGGGGCCCCGGGGCCGTGGACCTGTCCCTCCCCGCCCCTGCCATCACCACGGTCATTTTCCTTTGCAGGACCACGCAGGACACACCGAACACACGGGGCGAACAATCGCGGCAGTTTAAGCGCCCTTAATGGCCTTGGACGCGTTAGCCGAGCGCTAGTGGAGGCGGAGGGCCGGGACCGGGCACGGAGGGCAGTGCCAGGCTGGCCCGGCGCCCCCCGGCCGGGGCTGGGTGCCCTCGGCACTGGCCGGGCCGGGCTGCGGGCTCTGGCAGCGCCGGAACGCGAGCTGCGAGCGGGCGGGCGGCTGTGGGGAAGGAGAGGCAGATTTGCTGGAGGAGGCGAGAGCGATGCTGTTTAGCCAAATTCTCCTCAAAGCTGATTAAGGGCACCGAGATGAATTCTGGTCCCCTCAAGACTCGCATGCGATTTAATACGAAAATCACTTATTTAACGTGGAAAGTAAATGACACGAGTGCGGCGCGGGTCTCCAAGTGGGCTCCGGGTACGGGCTGGTTCCTCGGTTTTCTGCTCCATCTGCCTCCGAGCCCCCAGGCCTCCCCTCTCCCCGCTCCTCTCGCCCTGGCCAGACCCGGTGCTGAAAATCTGTTTGCACCGAACTGTTGTTTACTTATCGGGGGAGGAGGGCGAGAGAGAAACAATCTCAGGAGATGGGCCGGGAGAGCGGAGGTAGAGGGGAAAAAGTTGGTTTCCAAGAATCTTCCAAGTTAGAAACGCACGCAGTTGTGGGCAATTACCTGCGTGTGAAATAGAAGGACAAGTGCACTGGGATGCAGCTCCTGGGAGCTCGGCGTCTCTCCGTTCGTGGCTGAGACTTAATTTCTCCAAGGAAAAATAGTCTCTGCCAGGATTTTAAGGGAAGGGGGGTTGGGGGGTGGGAGAAGGTCGGAGCGTGTGTGCGTGTGCGGATCGGGTGTGCGCGCGTGTCCCGCTACCATCGCACTTCGGGTAGGGAGAGAGGAGGGGGGAAAAAAAAATCCCTTTCCCCAGCCCACACAGATATTTGTGTTGTTGTAAAACTGTTCGAAAGAAATGCAGGGGGAACGCGCTCGCCGCCGAGGAGCTGCGGCGGCGCCTGGAGGGAAGCAGGAGCAGCCCGCGACCCCCGGGGAGCCTCCGCTCGCGGGCACGGACGGAGGGAGCGCGACCCAGCGCCGAGCCGGGGCGGCGGAGAGCGATGAGCGGCGGCGGGGCGGCGGCGCGGGCGGGCAGCGCGGCACGGGCGGGCAGCGCCGCCGCCCCCCGCGCCCCCCGCGGACCCCGGCGGCCGCCCCCGGCCGAGCCGCCCCCGCTGCGGCCGGCGCCGCGCTCGGGGAAGTTTGGCCGGGCGTGAGGATGCGGATTTATTCCTTCCCCGCCGTGTTTCCCTGGCCGCCGGCGCTGGAAGCGGCAGCGCACAAAGCCCGGAGCGGCGGCGAGCCCTGCGTGTGCCGGAGTTGGTGTGTGTGCGGTGTGTGTGCGTGTGCGGTGTGTGCGGTGTGTGCGAGTGGCGTTTCTTGTTCTCTTGCAGGGTACAATGTTAAAAAGCCACCGCTAGTCGCCCCCAGTGCTCCTACTCTCTGGGTCTTTTTGTCTCTAGTGCAGATTAAACGTCACGTCCGCACTTGAACTTGAATTTTATCCCATTGTACAGAGGCAGCCCCAGCCATAGAGAGACAGAGCGCTCCCAGAGAACCAGGACTCCGCCATCTTCACATTGCAATATATAATAGTAATAGCCAGCACCAGCCCAGCTGCACTGGGGGCTTCCTTCCTTCCAGTCCCAGTGCCAGGCGAAGGGGGAAGAGTGCAAAGTGGTGCTGGAGCACTGGCAATCCAAAAGCACCAGGGCAAAGCAGTGCCACTTGAACTGGGAAAGAGGAGACACAGTTTCGGCTACCCCTTTTCAAAAAATTCTCTCTATATATCTACCCAGCAAGGGTCAATCTCTGAGAAACATTTTTTTGGCGATTTTTTTTTTTTTTGAGTGGGGGCTATCCCAATTTTAGTACTTTTCTTCTTTTTTACTACAGTTTTTTTTATTTTAATTTTTTAAATTTTTCTTTTTTTCTTTTTTTTTTCTTTTTTTTTTTTTTTTACCCTCTTGGTGGAAAAGCGCACTTGCTAATTTGCCAAGCACTCTGGAAAGAGGGAAAGAGAAAAGTGTCACTGGCGGTGCATATCCTCCTAAGTTCAAGAAGAGATCTGGAAGTCCAAGTGGCAGAAGCAGTGGAGAAAAGACAGTGTGTGAAAGAGAAAGAGAACGAGAAAGAGCTTTTCCTGATGATGATGATGATGATGATGATTTTTAATTGAGAGGGAATCCCAACCAGTGCACCACAGCAGCAACAAAAAGGAGGCGTTTTTTTTTCGTTTTTGATTTTTTTGAAAGAAGAACTCGATAAAGAAGAAGAAGAATAAAGAGGGGACAAAAAAGAGGAGGAGGATCGGCCCCCCAACACATCCCCCCAAACCAGTGCAGCTCTCCAGGCGATGCCAGTGTAAATGCCAGGGCAATGTCCCGTCGCAAGCAGGGAAACCCGCAGCACTTGTCACAAAGAGAGATTATCACACGTAAGTTTGAACTTGGAACGAGACCGAGCCGAAATCGAGAAGCAAAATTAGGGAAGGGGAGGAAGCGGTTGGGGAGGGGGGGAGTGTGTGGGGGGGAAACTCCAGGAGCAACCAAAGCTGGTAAATGACTTCAGAGAGAGGGAGAGGAGAAGGGAATTAAAGAGGGGAGGGGGGTGTGCGGCTGGGGGGGATGGGCTGGGGGTGGAGGGGGGGAGAAGCCCGAAGTTTGCCGTGCGTTCGTGCAGCGGTGCGGAGGTGAGGCGGCCGGGCGGGAGGGCAGGCGGCGTGCGGCGGGGAAGGAGCGGCCGGCGGGCCGAGCGCGGCGCGGGGCTCTCCGGGCAGCGGCTGCGGGCGCGGGGGGCGCGGGGCGGGCAGGGCGCTGCTCCGGGCCGGCCCGGGCCGCCCCGCCGGGGCTCCGCTCCTCGTCCCCCGCTCCGGGGGCAGCGCGGGGCGGTGGGAAAAGTTGGCCGAGAGCCTCGCCTCGGCGTGACAGCCGCGGAGGGTGGGGGGAGGAGGATCAAGGTGGGCAGCGAGGGAGGGAGACGCGGAACGGCCGGGGGGACTTAGCGGGAAGCACATGGAGACGCTGGGCCGGCGGCGGCGGGGCCGAGCCCCCCGGCACCGCAGCGCGGGGCAGGTAGACGGCCAGCTGCGCCCTGCCCGCCCCAGGTGCAGCGCCGGCGGGGGAAAAGCGCTCTGCGAAGCGCGGGGCAAGGCAGAACCAGCTCGGCTGGGGCTAGAGGCAGGGCAGGGGCTGCCAGGGGCCGGCTGCGGGCGGGAGTGTCCGTCGGTGGCGGGGGGCGCGGGGAAAGCCGAGGCGGGCACCGGGGATGGAGTGCACGAAATGCGGGTCGGGCAGCGGCAGGGGCTCGCCTGCGGGGCAGGAGTGGAGGCTGCACTTTGCTGAAGCTCCCATTGTAAGTGAAAATACACACATATACTCCCACCCGCCGCCCCCCCTACCCAAAAAAAAAAAATAGGGAAGGAAAAAATAGAGCGGGGGGGGGGGGGGGGGAGGGAAAGAGGCATCCCCCCTCCCCCAGCGCCAGAATCCCCCTCCTCCCCGTTCCCACCCCTACAGCTCCGGGAGAGGGGCGAGTGCCTGCAGGCAGAGTAGGGGGCAGGTCCCCGAGCGGGAGCCCCGCTCCGCCGCTCCCGTCCCCGGGGGCCTGTGCCGAGAGGCGGGGGGGAAATGTGGGGGCGCCTCTGGGGCGTGCGGCCCCCAGCGCCCCGCGCTGCTCCGCCGCCTCCGGGCACGGGCAAGGGGGAGGTCAGGGGGGTCCCCGTTTCCCCCCTATAGCATAGGACAAGTTTAGGGGGTGGTAAAAAAACGCCCGGCGAGCCCGGCCGGACCCCGGCCCCCCCCGGCCCGCAGGACGAGCCCGCAAGTTGTTGTGCTGCGGGGGGCGGCGGCTCGCACGGAGCCTGCCCGGGGCTGAGCCTGAGCCGCGGCGGATCCGAATATTTATGTTGAGATTTTAAAAAATTTAAATAAATAAATAAAATATTTCCCCGGCTTCTCTCCCCTCCCCTGAAAGCCAAGAATAGGAGCCATCTGCCAGGAGCATTTGGTGCTTGCGAGCTCCTCTCTTTCTTTGTTACCGGTGATAAATTTCTGTTTGTAAGATCTCCTTGGGAATCGAGATATATATGTGTATATAATTTTTCCACCTCCATTGGGGTTTTCTTTTCATAGCGGAGGGCTGTTGGGGGACGGTTTGAGTTCTGAAATATAAAATTCTTTCACTGTTTCTGTATTTTTTTCCTATATATATATATATATATATATATATATATATATACACATACATATATATATATATAAAATATGTATTTTTAAATGTGCGTCTTTATTTTCTAAAAAGTACCCCTCACCCCACCTCCAGCCCATCAGCTGGTGGAACCTTGATGAAGATGCATCTGGTACTCAGCTTTTTCTGGGGGGGGGGGGGGTTGTTTTTAATTCATTGTTATTTTGGAACCAGATTTGCATCACCATAAAAGGTGGATTCCCCCCTTCCTCAACTCCCTCCCCTTCGTTAATTGCATTTTTGATTTTAACCATCCGGTTTGGAAAATGTCTTATCCTTTTTTGTTGATGGCTTCTTATTTTGCCCTCCTTTCTGTTTTTAAATTCTTTTTAAAAGAAAAAGCATCAACATTCACCAAAATCGTCCAGTGTAATTTCTCCCACTTGTTTTCTGTCTCACTTGAGAGGAGATGTGGGGTGTTGAAAGGGGGTGTGCGGAAAATCTGTTTTGTTGCGCACGTCTGAATTTGTTTCAATGGGTGAAACATTTCTTTTCTCGCCGCTGTTGCTGCTGGGGAGGGGGGGAAGGGGGGTGGAGAAGAGAGTCAGGTAGGTCTGTTATTCCAATTTGATCTCCTTTTCCGATCGCTTTACTTGAAGGTAAATCATGAGGCAGGAGAGTATTCAAAGGTGCCGAGGAGCTGCGCGTACAATGGGTTTAGCGGGAAGGCTGGGGGAGGAATGGAGAGCAGAGCAGTACGAGCTTCCCTCCCTCCCCTCCTGTATTTATCTATCTCTCCATCCCGAGGAAGCTGGCGGAGAAATCAGGCTGCATACTGAACAGAGGCAGGAAAACCCGAAGGTATCCAGGGGAAGGAGGTGGTGGGAGGCGGGGGGGAGCTGCAGCGTGGGGCTGGGGCTGGGGAGCAGGAGCAGGAGCAGGAGAGGAGCAGGAGCAGGAGCAGGAGCAGGAGCATTTCAGCATTTCAGCATTTCAGCATTTCAGCGCACAGGTCTGAGCCTCAGCTGCAGCCTTGCACGAGAGGGGGTTGCAGTCTCTGCACTCCTTGGCAAGTGTCATTCATGGAGGAAAAGCAGCCAGGCAGTGTCCTCTCTAAAGGGGAGTTTGGAAAGTAGTGGGCAAACAGAACAGGGAACCAAAGCACTTAAAACAGAATAGAGTCAAGCCTAAGCCAAGCCCCCCAAAGCCAGGATGAAGTGATACTGTTTTCAGAAATCTTGTTTTTATGTTGTCTTTAGCTTGGGCACTTTTTGCCCTGTCTCCCTTTTTAGCATCTGTAAGGGGAGCTGCATTTCAGGATGGATTGAAGATTTCTGCCAGGCAAGGAAAGAGATGGGGAGAGAGACAGAGAAGGAAGGGTTTTCTGACACTGTTCAGCTGGAGTTTATTTGGTTTCCTCCACTTGGTGTTTGGAGAAACGTTTAGATCCTGAGTGTAAGACAAACAAACTCAAAAAGGAGAGAAAGTGCAACGTTGCTGTGCTCCAGAGTTGCAGCATCTCATTAGCACAGTGGTCTTTGAGGCTGCACAACGGAGTGGCCTGCCTGTGTTTGCCAGGCTCACCCAGGCAGCCTTGAACCGTGTGTGAGCAGGACAAAAGAAAGAGGTGAAACACATGGAGAGGAAAAAGCAACTCTGCACCTTTCTCCACTGCTGGTGGACAGAGCAAACTTGGCAGCCAAGCTCATTTAAATGGGTGGACAATGCAAAAGAGCTGATTATGTACAGGAGAAGAGGCTGAAGTGTTGAGCTGCTCTGTGCAAAGAAATGTTATTTTGGTTCTGTTCAAACTGCTGATTTTCCAGCTTAAGATCTTCCATTTTTAACTTAAGAAATCTGTTTTCAAACTAGCCCTGCATTTTGCATTTGAAGAAAATGTGAAAGGCAAGAGCATGTGAAAAGCTCGCTGGTAGCAGTTTTGCAGAAGGTGGCAAAGCTGGAACATTTCTGTAGAGCAGCAGCAAAGATTGAGAGGGAAAGGCACAGGAATATCATACAGTTCCAGGCAGAGAACCAGGTTTCCCAAGACAGGTCTTCAGTACCTGGTCAACAGGTTTCCTAGGAAGAGCAATAATTTCCTGTATCACTTTGTTTTGTACGTAGTCATTAAAAATCATAACAAAAACCCCTATGATTTTTTGCATGTCAAAGTTTTGCAAATTGCTCCAAGGAGCGTCTCTTAAAATGCATTTAGATTTAGTGCAATTAACGCACTTTCCCTGCAGAACAAAACCCACACCAATGTAATCAACTCTAATACAAAGAGAATGTAAGTTGTGACTGAAGAATTAGAGAGGAAATTACTATTATTTTAAGGATGGATGACTTTTTCATAATACCTGCATGGCTGTGCACAGAAAAGCACAGCCTTTTAAAAGACATCTCGTGTGTTTACTTTAATTAGGACAGGGGAAAATAAAGGTTGTATGCTGTCGACGTCCAGGTTGTCTTTCATTTGAATATATTTGTATTGGACTTACAAAATAAGTCAAAAGAATACTGGCACATTTTCATAGTTTCTGTTCTTTAAAAATATTTTTTAAAACTGCTGCAGAGTAACTAAGTTGTGCCTGTGGGTTGTTCTGCCCTTTTTGGTTGGTGTGTCCGGTGGCTTAAATAGATATACAGTGGGTGAGAAACCATTTTGCAGTTTTTTTTCTGGTCGGCAGATGCAGAGCATATTTTGTCAGGCTTATTTAAATACTGAGAAATAAAACTCTTCAAGATTCCACAAACTGGCCGCGTTTAATAGAAATGGTGGGAGCCCTTGTTTTGCACAAAATGCGTGTTTCTCTGCAGAACAAAGGGTTGTCTTGTGGCATATTTGGCAATAATTATGACTTAGAGAAGTGCGCGCTCGAAGAAGTAGTACAAATTTTTGATATCATTTATAGACTCTGCTTGACTTCAGCTGCCTATCCCAGGGCTGAGCTGGCTGCGAGCAAACCTCTCTTGCTTCCAAAACGCCTCGCACACGACATTCAGCTCGTCTCCCGCATTTCCTACCTGGATCCCTTTGCCCTTTGTGCTGTTTGTTGATGGAAAACACTTTCCAAAATAAACTTCGGCGGCTGCCGGAGCCTGCCGCGCGTCCCGGCCGCCAGTGGCGGGGCTTGGCGACTAGGGGGAGCTCCCAGCCCGTGCGATGGCCGCGCCGGCCGCGCTGGCCGCGGGACGCGCGGGATGCGCCGCCGAGCCCGCACCGCCGCCGCCGCCGCGCTCCCTGCG